CCAACCAGGCCCTGCTACTCCACATACTCCGCGACGGGCACCCCTTCGTGTTCAGGCGAGTACTCTATCTGCTTGAGCACCACTGTCATAGCTAGATGTGCTCAGGCAGATTTCATTGCTGCTCCGACTGACGCGACGGCACCCCCCTCCCTCATCGACGATGGAAGTATCACTGTAGACCCATCGGTTCCGACACCTGAGCCCAGTTCAAAGCCCGAAGAGGACCCTCATCGCCAGGAGGAGTCAGCTGATAATGAACGGGCTGAGCAGGAGGTTTCTGTTCCAAACAACCTGCAGAACCAGACCAGCGTTGCAATGAGGGACATTAGCCTACTGTCTGCCCGACAGAACGGCTGTGGTGGCAGCATCAATGGTGGATGCGACTACATCCGCTTCTGCGCGTCGGGCATGTGCGCCAAGTCCGAGAAAGTACCCTGCCTCCAAGCGCATATCAAAGCTCATATGGGCATTACTTCCGGCATTGAACTTGAAGCTTGGGTCAAGGAAGACGGTGTCGAAAAGTGTCGAGCCACGCGAACCTGCCCTCTTCTATGGGACAAGGACTGCAGCGGCGTCAGCACGTTCAACTGCGGCGACGGCAACATGATGGGTTTCAGATACAACTATGTCGAATACTACAGTAAGAAGTACAACCAGAAGTACCCCATGTACCTCGAGTTGTCTGTAGATGCGAGGCTGGTTTTTTGCAGTAAGTTACAACACTCCCTCATGATAGTTCTCGCCTTCTTGGTGTCAAATACCCTTCCTTCTTTCTACATTTTACGATCAGTGACTAACCTTTTTTACTCCGTTACAGCGCAAAAACTCCTATTCAGGGAGATTCCGTATGTGTGTTGGGAAGATGAGTATTCGTGGAAGGATGGGCCTTGTAAAGGGTTTGGTCTCTAAACTAACAACCAAGTTATCAGGCCACTATATAGAAAGTATTATAATGAAGTAGAAAATTATAGCATTAGCTTGATGATCAGCGTACAAGTATATTGTTCCTCAAGCAGGAATCAATCTCATCACATGCGGAATGAAATCTTCACGTATACTGCTTGCCGTTGCAATTCTCACTAACACTATTTTCCCATAATCTTAGTCCTCCCGAGACTGGCAAAGGAGATGCTCGTTGTTGTGCTAGATTATGCTTGATACAATCAATATCAAAGGTACAATGAAGATAGAGGATAAAGTATGGTGTCATATTCATTGAAGGTACAAGATACGGCAAGCACATGCCGCATCCAATGCACAATTTTCTATTGGGAGGCATAGTATGTATAGCCTTTACCCCAGTTGGTATTTTCAGGAATGTGGATAGGGTTCAGGCAGCCCTTTTGGTAACTGTTGTTCGTGCACAAAGTAGACTGGCTGTAGCATATCGAAACCCCCACGTTTACAGAGGAAAACGGATTCTCACGACTCATTGATTTCCTGCACTAGAAAACTCTCATGTTAGGTTGAGTTCTCTTGCGCGCCAGCATAGCGCATTGAACTCGACGCCCAAATCTTTGCGAAGGCCCTTATGCTACCCGTATCACCCATGAGTCCCTTACACATTGTCGATTATTCCCCACCATACACCAAGTATAGGCTGCAGAAAACTGATATGCCATGGCGACACAACGTATGATGTGCTGCGCCCCTTGACAGATGTATAACCATGACGTATAGTATATGCGGGGCGTGAGACGATGGCTAAGTTTGACAGCGTTGTGGCGCATGGGAAGTGTGGCGCATTCTCCACAAACACCTACTCACTGCTATGGGCACTAGCATCTTCCCCATGAATTTCGCTTCCTACCCCGCATCATCATCTGCGTGAAAAAAAGCTGCTCTGTTGCTTATCGTACCGTGGAGATTGCGAGAGAGTGGCTAGCCGCCCGATGTGAGGATGGCTGAGGGCGATCGGTTAGGCAACCAGTGTCCCGCGCTGGGGGCTGAGACGCGCCAAAACAAAGGTTGATACTGACTACTCCCCACATCCCGCAGTATCACACGCTGCATACATCAACTTCGACCAACAGGCTTACCCATCTCCTTCTGGAAAGAAGCTCTTCAACGTATAATCTCTACTGATTGTCATGCGCACATGATTGCGCAGCCCTTTGGTCAGACGTCTCGGGCACAAGCTGGCCCTTTCATTGCGCGCAAAAAGTCGAGTCCCCTATCGCAACAAACGGGACCAAGTCGAATCTGCAAGGGGTCATGGCATCACCGAATTACAATCCATACCAACAGACGTGGCAGTCGCGGCAGTATCAACCAACACCGCCTTCACCGGCACAGCCTGTATACCATTACTCACAAAACCATCACCCCGAGTACACTCAATATGCGCTAGCTGCGGGATCGTACGTTCAACCTCACTACGGCAGCACAGAACCAGCGCCAGTAATCGCAGAATTACCAGCACCATTACCATCAGCCCCACCAACAACCACGTCTGAAGAGCAATTGAAGCAAGACGAACTCCTGGCGCGTAGGATGTCGCAACTAGAGGTCACAAGCTCTACAACGTTGACGAACCCGTTTCCTGGAGACCCCCAACACCTGACACCATCACTGCACCAACACCGGTCTGTACAAACGCTGCGATCACATTCTCGAAGCGTGTCCTACTCCAATAATCAATCTCCATGTGGTGTAGCGCCTCGAAACTCGGTTTCAATACCCATAACACACCACCGATCTGCGCAGTCATTACGGCCTCATTCAAAGAGCGTAGGGACACATGCTGCACCATGGAGTCCAGGATCTCTCAATCATATTCAGAAGATAGATACGACTAGGTTCAGTACGTTACCAGAAGTTGTGGTGGAGTCTTTTCCCATCCCGTACTCAGGCCCAAAACACCCAGAGCAAACTCTCCCGATACCAGTTTACCCCGACCAGCAGCCCGTGAGCCAACCGCCCGTTACTCTGGATCATTCTTCGTTGCCTTCCTATGTAGAGACATATCGTCAAGCACCTTATCCTCCACAATGGACTCCACCACCTATACTTCAAACACTGTACGCTGGTCGGGGAGGCAAACATGCCTCGGGTTCTTGTTGGCTCGATACGCCGACATCGTCTACATGGAGCGGAAAACGGCCTTCAGACAAGGGACAAGAATCCGTACCTCCAGCCTTTTCTTTCAAGTTCAAATCTGTTGGCGGCAGCTTTCGTACCCCAAAGCTATCCTGGACCATGACGTGCAATGAGCAACTTGAGAATCTTGGGACGAAGGCTAGCAAACAGCAGGCCTCTACATGGACATATGAGCTCAAAATAGATCCCAAAACCAATATGCGAAAGTCTGAAGTTCTTACGCCAAGTGGATCCAACTCCAGAGACATCATGACAACATACGTACATGCGCTGAATTACGACTCCTTGAGATTTATCGGGGCCGACCGGCGCGCCTATATGTGGGTCACGAGCAGCAGAGTGTCCTCCATTGATGGCGCAAGGTACGATACCCTCAGGCATGCGCTGTTCGTCGCTTCAGGATACAATCCGAATCCGCTGTACGGCCATATCGTCGCAGACCACTGCTTTTGGGACGGCGGAATCGACAATACTGCAGAAAACCTGCCTGATGAAGCAATTTACATACGATCTTCAGAAGTAGATCAGGCACTCGTTGTAGCCACGCTGCAGGTCTTGAAGGACTGGGAGAAACATACGCTGAGGGACGAGAAAAAGAAGAAGCCGGAAGCTTTTGCTGCAGCGGAAGAGGAGGCCAGAAAACATATTCTCGGAGCGGCAAGTCATTGGAAAGCTTAGCGTAGAGTGCGAAGCATATTTTTTTGCGATTTCAAGGACACATGGTTATGGCACTTCTAGAGGTGTACTTCTGGATGGTGCTCTGGTCTTGGTGGTATACGACGAATTCAACTTGATGATTGCGTACCTTTATTTCTAGCCGAACCTGCAATATGAAGGAACTCGAACCGGATTTGTTGTATACAACTAAAGTTGCTGCCTTACTACAATCTATCCTCACGGCATACATCAACTGACTAGAAATCACAAGCGTGAAAGCACACGGCATGTCAGAGATGTCGAGGGACGGCAGGCGGAATTCGCTGCTAAGCTCCATTGAGATTGTGGCGGACATGACACAGCTTAGCTGCCGTCCGTAGACAGCGCTGACAATACAGCAAGCGACTATGCGCCGTTATTCTTGTCTTTCGCGCAATGCGAAGTGACGATGGCATTCCACGTGTCCGAGAGTAGCCGATATAGTATACCGTAATAGTGATCTGAGGCCATATTCCTTGGAGTTTTGGTACGTTCAGTTTGGTCTTCTCTGGCTTAATCGAAGATGTCGGCGCAGCGATCTCTGCTCTCGACATGGTCAAGGATGTTGCAATACAGTCTAGTGATCGGCGCCTCCGTTGAACCCAGACACAGATGTTTCCAAAATAGGGGTCTGGACTAATACTAGTCTGTGCTAATACTGGACGTAGTGTACTAACGACTACATGGATTATCCGCCACATAATTTCCACACTCTAGTGCCCGAGACATAGGTGCTCAATTCATGCCAATTTCCGGCCGCCTTCAGTATCCATGTCCAAATTTGGTTAGCCTGTTGTGGCTAGGCCTTCGAAAAGTATCTACTACTCTCTTCGCGCCTCCTCAACTCTTGGCATCACAACGGCACATGCTTAAAGTATCTTGATTCTTTTGACTGAAAGGCATGAGTACTAGATCAGCGGGAATACCATACCAAAATTCCGCTACAAATAAATCGGCCTCGCTCTCTGGTGGATGAACACAACGTCAGCGCTCATTTACGATTCGTCATAGGATCTGCTCACTCCTAGTGGAAATTTGTACCACAATTCCACTCGTTTGTCTCAAATATTCCACTGGCTACGATGAGGAAATCAGTCGCGATCCTTGCACTTATAACGCTTGCAGCAGCAACTCCAATCCCTCAACACATAGACCTGAGCGCTGTAGTTGAGCCCGATGAGGTGTCTCCTCCCATAACTATTCCTATGGGAGAAGGAGCCCTCAGCGATATCATAAACCCTTCTGCAAAATTTTTGAAGCGCGATTGGGATTGCTCCGACCAGGCGCTCGGATCAGGCCCAGTGCCTTCCTCAGATTCCCCAGAGGCATTCCTGGCTTTCTCTGAGCTTTCAGATGCCGCCAATAGTGCGAAAACTCCAGAAGGATATATGAACGTGTTCCAGAACAAAAAGGCGTCCTCTCAGACATCAGTGAGTCTCACAAATCGCAGAATATTTTCGGAAATTCTAACATGGTGCGATCAGTCCTACATGGGATACTTTTCTCTATCCACTTACGATACTGAAGCTTGCGCTGCCAAGTGCTCGACTACCACAGGATGTCTTTCCTTCAACATCTTATTCGAGCGTGATCCGCAGAAGGTTCCTGCCACAGCGTGCCCTAATCCTGCATCAACTACTGTTATCAAGTGTGTTTTGTGGGGCACTGTCCTTTCCCCGGAAACTGCTACCAACGATGGTCAGTGGCGTAACGACTTTCATGTCGTAATTGCTGGCTCCAACGGCTATGTTCGTAATCCTTCAGTCCCTAAGTCAGTCCCCGGGTACACTGGTACCTTCGTTGGCACCAAGGCGGTCAACGCACCTTCAGACTGTAATGGTCGCAACACATACATTACCTATAAGGAATTCAGCGATGGTGCTCCTTTTGATCCATCCCGCTGCGCTACCGCTTGCGAGGCCGAAACCCAGTTCAATATCGACCATTTCAATTCCAGGAGTATCTGCCGATTTTTCAACACGTACATCCTCATGAAGAATGGAGTGCCGCAAGCTCAGATATGCTCAATGTACAACACTACTTGGGCAAACACGCCGGATATCATCTCTAACGAGGGACAATGGCGTGGCGACGATCACTACAGGATAGCCTATTCAGAGATCTACTCGAATGATGCCGATCCCGGCAAGCCCATTTGCGCTTCTGATATTTCATACTTGAGTCAACCAGAGAATGCTGCGTTCTGCTCAGCCTACATCAACTATGTTGCACCCACTAGTATAGTGTCCGCTGTTTCAACTATCAGCACTGCCACTGTCACCACTGTCGACTCCACCGTTACCTCGACTCCCGACCCAGTTACAACCTCTACTACTGTTACCTCTTACGATACAACTACAGTAGTGGATAGAGTAACTACGACTGTTATCATGCCAGCTCCTGCGAAACGCGCGGCATTGTCTCGCCCTGCATCTGTTGCTAATTGGCCGGAATCACTGCTATCAGCCGCATGTTCACAAGTTGCAACTGGCACAATAACAGAGACCTCTATCACAGCCACTTCAACTGTTTTCACCGCGACTCAGACCTTAATCAGCACTGCCACTGATGTTGCTCCAACTCCCACTACTACGGTCGCCACAACTCTTGTGGTAGCCACTACTATCCGATCGACTACGACTTCTACTGCTACTTTCCAAGCCCCTCCTCCGGGCAGTAGTTGCGCACCTATCTATGGATGCTTCAACGTCAAAGACACAGTCTCCGGTTCCTATCTCACTGCGCCACTCCGCGACAGTCCAAAACTGTCCTCCAGTGTCAAATTCATTTTCAAGCAATACGCTGTAGGACTTAACAACTGTTTCATCAGATCTTCCATAGACAGAGTGCTTGGTCAAGGAAGATACGATAGTGGAAATACACTATCTTCTTTGGCATATTTTCCACGTGATTATTAGGGAGTAGGGTCGACAGGTAGCAGTACAGTGGCATACACGCCCTGTAGGCCAACAGCAGACAATGGCTTGCAATGCGTCCTCATAGGCCACGAGTCAAGTCCACTTATATCCTTGACTAGCGGGGCGCTGTACTTTTCCAATGGCTCCCCTTCACCAAGTGCGAGACTTGTGAACTTTGTCACAGAGACAGTCGAATGTCCTGCAGGCTTCTGATGGGATTCAATCGTGGCAAGGAAGCAAACACATTAATGTAGTCTTAAATATCTTCGCAGGATGTGCTTAATGCAGTCATGTCCATGCAAACTGAAGTGAAATGGGTGAGGTATGTTTCGAGAATCAGTATAGACTGTGCTTCATTCGCATACAACTCTACACAATAACCAGAACTTGTGACCTCGAGACTCTTCTAATCTATAGGCTCGTACGGACAGGTAAAGAATTTGTTCGGGGTTGGTGATGCAATGGCAGCCCTCACTGCCACAGTGCGCGCTACAAGAATCTGGTTCGCAACCTATGCTGAGCTGTTACGATTGTTAGGAATTTGAAGGTATACAGAGGTAGTTTGATTTGCTAGAATAGTATTGGCCGATAAAATGAAAAAGGTAAGAACGGCGGTGCATGAGACGGAATGAAGGGCAAATGGCATGGTGATAGTGAAAGTGAACGGTTGTGTTGACAGGCCTTTTTCCATGTCCTATTCTAGAAGGTGAGAAAGAAAGCCCTAAATACTGCCAATGAACCTGTCGTTAAGTAGTTTGAGAAATGCGGAAAATCGGGGGGGGGGGGGGGGAAGTCGGTAAGTCATGAATGAGTGAAACTTGACAGAAAGCTGTGAGAATGTAAGCCAACCCCACGTACTGATAGTTGTCCGAGCTGGATAGAAAAATTTCAAAATTCAGATGCAAGAATCCAGTATGGCTTGATGTACCTATCGGCGTTTTTGTTGATATGTCTTCGTTATTCTCCATTGATACACCCAAAGATATATATGACAGTTAATGCGGCAAACTGATATCATGCGGAGTGAGACGGCAGACTTGGAGTGTGCTGAGACAGGCAAAGATGCGAATTACCAGACTTATTCATGACATTAATATTCAGATGAGCCAGAGCACAATAAATATTAGTCCGGTTTTGTGACTGGTTCAAACCACTCATCGAAAGCCTACAAGCCGGTCTGATCTTTACAATGTGATAAGATTCGTATGAATTGACCGAGAGTGCTAACTTTCGATAGTAAACATAACGATTTGTATGGTTAGAATGAAGAATTGATCTATTTTGAATATTGATCGAGGTGCAAGCCAAGTTTCGAGCTCTTGAACTGGACGAACAGGGTAGTAAAGAATAACTCTATAGTAATCTACTCAGACGCCTCCAAAACGAAAGACGGAGATGGGATAGGAGTAGGCCTAGT